GATAGCCATAGGATGTCCTTCTCTGCCCTTTCATAAAAGAAGTACAGTTAGCATGTACAGAAAGGAGCATCTTCATGATGATGATGTCCCAGCCTTGGAATACCATCACATGAGAGATAAACCTGGTGCCAACACTGTACTTTTTTCAGTGCTGGACAAAAACTGAATTTCGTTAAAAGAAGCATGACATTATATTGTTTTTTAAAAGATCATTTTATGTGCCCTACCCTGAAATCCATCTAGGGAATGAAGGCATGGTGTATAAAGTTGCAAAATGTATCATTGGGATATATTGAAAATATGAAGGAGGAAAAGGCTTACCTTTGCTAAGTAATATGTATAAGTACAAATGTATAAATACTAATTATAATTTAAATAGAGTCTCAAGATATCCCATGGGAGTGGGGAACTCTGTGTCCAGATGACATGGGTGCTTGCTTGGCCAGCTAATCAAGTGGTAACTGCCGATGGGCAACTTCAAGGTCCCTATTCCTCCTTCTTACAATTTCTTGTGGTTTTGAATCTTTAAACCTGACTTGGACTGGACAGCCTTTCAAAAAGATGACCGTAATGTAGGGCACCAAGCCCTCCTGTTCTCCAGGGCTCCTTCAACCAAGGTTGAGCCACATTCATCACTGCTCTATGAATAAGAACCTTCATCAATCAGCCATGGCAGATGAGGAGTAAGGGAACTGCAGTCCAAAACATCTGGAATGCACCAGTTTAGGGAAGGCTGCCATATCTGTTAGCATCTGACAGGAAAATAAGATAAAAGTCAATAAAAAGAGAATAATTTATTAAAAAGATCTAATGTTACAAGAACAGTACGCAGGAACCAGTATTTGACCGTCTTTCACATAGTATATACTATTATATGTATTAAATATATACAGGTTGTACAAGATATCTAACATTTTAAGATGGGCCTTTGTTTTGGCTTCTGGACCATTTTTTTCCTGATCACTTTTGTAAATTATTACGACATTATACAAAAATACAGTCTTTCCAATTAAGTTGGACTGCTCTGTTACAATCTCATTCAAATAAAATGAAATAACAAAACAAATAAAGCTCTCTTTGCAGCAACCCCACCCTCACCCCAAAACCCATTAAAACGAAAACAGGCAGCCTTCATGAGATGGGAACATTTGTCTTCTACAAAGTGACAAAGACTGTAATAGGGAGGTACTTAAACATTTAAACGTGTTTAGTAACAGACTGAAGATGCAATGCAAAGTAAGCTGCACAGGGCGGGGAGAAAGCCTCCTTGATTGCATCCGTCAGCACAGCAATTCAACATACTTGGCCTTTCAGAGCTCCAGAATTCACTCATAGCACGGTGTCTGACACCTTGTCAATGACACAGTCCACTGGATTTCATTTATTGGATTTATTTATCGGATTTGTAAAGCCACACCCAATAGTCCCGAACAGGACTCCTTGGGCGGTGAGAAAGAAACATTTCACTTTAATGGTGAAATATGTCAAAGAAGCTTTTGACCATCAGCAGGGATAGGATGAAAATGCAGGGTTGCCATACCTGCTGATGGATGGAACCCTCACTTTCTGCAGACTCATCTCCTTTCTCCTCTGCTGTATTTAAGCCATTGCTCATCAACAACAAAAAGTAAGCACATGGGGTCCATGTTGCAAGTAGGGATGGGGTAATTCTCTCTCTTGTCTATTTTTTGGATGACATCAACTGGAAAAAAAGGCACCCACAAATCAGGTAATCGATTTAAGAAACGGTACTAAAGGCCACCTAAGAACATGGTCGAAGTGTCCTGAACCAAAGAGGATTACTGTCTCTGTTCTGATAGTGGTAAGTGTCTTTCTTCCTTCAGGTCCTTCATCCTGGTGGTCATGATGGTTGCAGGTTAATATTGTTGATGTTGGGATGAGCACAGGAGGCAAGGAGGGCTCTATGCTCTGGCACATTTCTGATGCCATCAGAGGTATACCAGGTTTAGAGGCTTCTCAGTCTTCTGTGTTTCCATACCCCAACTCAAGCCTCATTTGTCAGGCTTGCTGGAAGAATTGAATTATTGCTGAAGCGAGGGGTGGAGGGTGCTTTTCCTTCCAGGCATTTCAGGAACCAGACTCTCCACTGTGGAGGTTGGTGGAAATACAAGTTGATGACTTGTATTGCAAATGCATATGAATATCACTTTCTGGCAAGTTGTCAGTGTTGGACTGGAACAACTATATTTGCTTTTTGATTTTTCACCCCCCAATAATTTTAACTTTACATTCACTCTAATCCAGTTCACACAACATGAGGTCAGTTTATAAGCCATGATGGCTTGTTAAACACCACTGGTTGAATGTTGGTTCACTTCTCTAATTATGCATAGCTGGTACAGGTTGTTGTGACATCTGAACCTGGGGCAGGGGTTGTTGGGATGGTTGCTCTTGGGATCCATAGTCTGTTATAGAGTGGTGGTGGGGATGAACCATCCCAACAAGGTGTCCTCACTGGGTTCAGGCACCACAAGAAGTGGTGGCAGGAATGCCAATTCACCACAGTCAATAAGCCACTACAGTGATCATGAGAATCAGGTTTCAGTCTTTGTTTCCCCTACCTCAACAGCTCACCACAATGGATGTGGTGCGTTTCATTCAACTGAGTTGCTAAACTTTATATTTTTATTTTTAGCCAGTTTATATTCTTAAAAAGTAGCTTTCAGAACACTTTAATTTTACTTCTAAATCCTGCAGTGCGCAAGGCCAACCATTGCCTTGGTGTCACAATGACTTAGAAATAGTTAAATTATTCTCTCCCCTTCTCCTCCCCCACTTTTTCTAAGGAAGTGATATGTATAGGCATGTAGTGTCCACAGGTGACGGAAAGCAAACCTTCTTCCTTCTGCTTGGAAGAGATGTCCTTAACAGGATAGGAAGTGGAGGTATACTTCTCATGGCAACATATTCACCATTCTAAATAAAACCTGCAAACTGTAATAGATGAATGTGTGTGTTTGCATGCACACATCTCTCTCTGTATTATTACATGGAAAACAACATGGGGTACCAAAAAGAACTTCCTGGATTAGGATCGCAGATTGGTTTTAGCCGCTAAAGGAGCATTGATGTAGATTAAGGGCTTGGCAGAAAATAGATCTCCAGATATTTTAGACTTCAGTTTTCAGCATGCTTAAATATTGGTTAAGCTGACTGGGCTTCTGAGAGGTGAAACATCTCAAACATCTGGCAATCTACCTTCTTTCAACATCTAATCTAGATAATGAGTCTTCAGATTGTGGTTTATAGTTCACAAACTGTATGATACATCATGTAATAGCTAGCATGAGTCACACCAATATGTTGTGACCATTAGTGGTGAGAAAAGGAGGAAGATGGAGGAATGGGTAAGAAAAGCATGGGAAACAAAGAAGAGAAGGTTGGAAGGAAATATCTAGATAGAAAAATGGATAAATCAGTGCAAAAATCATGAGATTAAAAAAAATGAGTGTAGGTTCAATGTTGTAGGCTGAATTTGAAGACAGAACCTGAATATGGAAAGAATGAGGGCTTGGTTAGGGTTGGCCACCTTGTAACTTCCAAACATTTTGGCCTACAACTCCCATCAGCCCTAGTGTTGAAGGTTGTTAAGAAATATAGGGTGATATAGGGGAAAAAAGTATAACTCAAAAAATGACAAAAGAGGACAACGGTTTGCATAAAACTTGCATATGCAAATGCATAAACACAAATTTTAAAATTAGAACAGTTCTTTAAACTGATTTGTAAGACATCTCACCCTAAAGGAGTGACTGACTCGCTGTGCTTGGCTAGTCAACTGGCCATGTTCATGAGCAGCTTCAAGGCCCCTGCTTTTCTCACAGCTATTCAAAGTAGAGGACAGTCCTTTCCAAGGTAGGCCACCTGGACAGCCAAGGGCAAAACAACTGGAGGGCCACAAGTTGTCCAGCCCTGACTTAGAGAATTAGAAACACTGCAAAATAGAATCCATTTTAGTGTTGCTTTGGACACAGCATTTGAACTTCGTGCATTTTATTGATAATCAGGCAAAACCATCCTGTTCCGATCTTAATATGCTTCTCGATATCATTTAGTTTAATCACCAAAGATAGACAGTACAGTACCATACAAAAATGGACTACAAAAATAAAGGTCTAAAGACTGAGAGCTGCTTGGGGACAACAGCTTTCTGTCTTTGCATTCATTTCGTACTTCCAGTTAGCAATTACTGGAGGCTATGATTACTGTCCGGCAATAATTTCATTGCCATTTGCATTTTTAATCTGCTGTACTTTTGCTATTAAAAATAAACATTTCTCCCTCATTTGTTAAGGTAGGCAATATCAGATGCAAAGCAATAGGCTGAATTTTATTCTTCATTCGGATGCTTCAGAGATTTACTTTGTAGTGAAAACGTGGCTCATTGTATGCCCAGAAAATAGAATTATAGCTGAAAAACAATAGGAAATTACCATACTTTGCTAACTTTAGATGACTTTATTTTGTTAAAGACATCATTTGTTACAGCAAATTAGAAAAGGGGCTACATAATCTAAATGCTGCAATTATGCCTTATCAGTTTGGAAAAAAAGCAAGCCGGCCAGCCTTATGCAAAGAGGGAGAAGGGGGTGGGCACTAGTCTCCAAATACTTATCAACCTTTGTTCTTTAACAAAAAATGTAACAATTCAAATAAAATAGATGTACTGTACTAGACGCCACAATTAAACTACTAATGATACAAGACTGGTGTAAGCTAATATATAAACGTATTAGAAAAGTAAAATAAAAATTGACAGAATTTAATTTGCTTACAAAAGTTCATTTCATACAATCTGCATATTTTTTGTTGGGCAATAAACATCCCCTTCCCCCATGGAGGACATTTACAAAAACTGAAGAGAAGAAACCTGATGAGTTATTTTAGCATTGTTTCCCTCCCACAGCACTCTTCCTGGTGCCCTGGGTCTATTTCTGGGTCTTGGACTGTTAGCTCTTTGACATCTGCTTCTTCTGTAGATGCAGAGCTCCATCCATTGGTGTTACCAAGCTAAAGCAATTGAACAGATGAATGATAAAAGGTCCACAGTCTTCTTCACCATGAAGTTGAAGGCACCATCAGTACCAAGAGAAATGTTACAGTTGATGAAGAAGTAGAGAAAGCATGTAGGCTTGATTGAGAACTTGTGACTTTTCCACCTGCAGTGATTCAAATCAAAAGTGAGCAGATACAAGGAGGGTCTACAGTGTTTTGGAATTTTACAATATCTATTGCAGTGATTATCAGAGTCTATGCTGGGGTATGTGTATCTTTTACTAGGGGCGGAGGTGTTGTTTGCAATATTATGCTGCCATGTTGGATACATCTAGCAGTTTGTTCTACCAGCCAGATTAGTTCTTCTGGGATGCATCGTCTTATACATACTTAACAGCGTAAGAGCTATGATAGATCAGACCAAAGGCCTATCTACTCCAGCATTCTGTTCCCACAGTGGTCAACTGGATATCCATGGACATGTAGATGATGACTGGATTGAGACAACAAGGCAACTCACATTCAAAGGCTATTGAACTATGAGCTATTCTTGAAATATTGGTTATTGTGTTGTTTGAATCCAGCTGTGCTAACAGGTCATGGCTCATTTACTACAAATGATCTATGACGAGCACCCATGGTTTGTTGTTGGCTTATCAACATGGTTTCATACAACACAATAAACCATGTTTCAACAACAACTCATGGTCATGACAACCCCACTTAATGAAAACCCAGTCCGTGAATATGGGCTATCATGTTGCCTGTTGTTTTTGCTCGTTGTGAAGTTGCGTCCGACCCATTGAGACCCCATGGACAACACTCCTCTGGGCCTTCCTGTCCTCTGCCATCCCCTGGAGTCCACTTAAGCTCGCTCCGACTGCTTCAGTGACTCCATCTAGCCACCTCATTCCCTGCCGTCCCCTTCTTCTTTTGCCATCAATTGTTCCCAGCATTAGGGTCTTCTCCAGTGAGTCCTTTCTTCTCAATTATTTTGCCTAAACTCAGTCAATAGCTCTGTTCCACTCTTTTCTCCCAGCAACTAGTATTACAAGTTTGTTGTATGTAAAATTCAGTCAAAAGAAATGTCTGTGACTGGCAGCTAGAAAAAGCGCCCTTGAAATTGTATTGAGGATGGATGTGAAACCAAAAAGGCTTCTTCTGTTATATGCATATTAAAAGACAGGAAAGAAAGGGTGGTTCAGCTGCTCAGTGATGATGGCAAGATGATAACAGGTGACAAAGACAAACCGGAAATGCTTGATTCCTACTTTGACTCAGTTTTCTTGCAAAGACAGGTCTATGACCTCCCTAAGTACAAGCTGAAGGGGCAGGATTACAGCTTGAGCTTGACAAGAAGGAAGACCTCATTATTTTAACAGAGGTCAAATTTTCAGGATCCAATGAACTGCATCCTAAAGGAACTGACAGAAGAACTCTCAGAACCACTCTCTATTCTCTTTGAGAAATCATGGAGGTTGAGTGAAGTTCTAGATGGCAGGAGGAAGGCTTATGTTGTTCCTATCTTCACAAAGAGCAAAAAGGAGGATCTTGGGAATTGCAGACCAGTTAGTCAATCCCTGGGAAAATGCTTGAGCAACCTATAGAACAGACAATCTGCAAATTCCCTGAAAGCAGTGCAGTGATTGCTAGAAGCCAGCATAGATTTGTCAAGAACAAATCAAACTAATCTGAACTCATTTTCTGAGTCCCTAGTGGACTCTGGGAAAGCTGTGGATGTAATATATTTTGACTTCAGTAAAGCTTTTGACAAAATGCCTCATTGTATCCTGATTAGCAAACTAGCTTAAAAGTGTGCTGGATGGAACACAGATCTGGAGGATCCACAGTCAGGTGCAGAATCAGACCCAAAGCCTGCTCATTAATGGCACCTTCTCAGATTGGGGAGAGGTGACCAGTGGGGTACTGCAGGGTTCAGTTCTGGGCTCAGTGCTCAGAGGAGTTCAAGGGGATGCTTATCTGATTTGACACAAAACTGGATGGGTTAGCTAATACTCAGGAGGACAGAAACAAAATTCAGAGTGATATTGAAAGGTTGGAACACTGGCCAGAAAATAACAGAATGGAATTTAACAGGGACAAATGCAAATCTTTGCATTTAGGAAAAATAAAACAATTGGATTGTTACAAGATGGGAGATATTTGGTTCAACAAGTGAGATGGGTCTTGGAATTGTTGTAGTTCACAAGCTGAATATAAATGCTATTTTGGTGGGGGTGAACTGGTGGCTTAATAGAAGTATAACTTCCAAATCATGTGAAATACTAGTTTCCCTCTTTCAGTACAGGTTAGACCTTGTCGTTAGTGCTGTGTCCATTTTTGTGCACCATAGTTTAAGAGAGATGCAGACAAACTGGAGAAGGTTCAGAGCAGGGCAACAAAGATGATCCCAAGCACTGGAAACAAAGCCCTATGAGGAGAGACCAAAACACCTTCCAAGTTTAGCATTGAGAAGAAAACTGAGAGGAGCACTCTTCAAGTACATGAAAGGTTGTCACAAAGGGGAAGGCCAGAAACTCTTGATAATACCAGAGTGCAAGGCATGGAATAATGGGTTAAAGTTTCAGGAAGCCAGATTCTAGCTAATCATCAGGAAAAACTTCCTGAGTGTTAGTGAAATACAACAATGGTGCCAGTTTGTTAGAGAGATTGTGGGCAATGGAAAAGTTTAACATGCTGCTGGACAGCCATCTGTTAGGGATGCTTCAACTTGGAGTCCTGCATTGAGCAGGGAGTGGAAATGATAGCCTCGTTGTCTTCTTCCAAACCTTCTATTCTATGATTTCTTCAGTTTACATTGCAACATGAACAAGGCATTTGTTAAATTTAGCAAAGCTAAGCACACACCAGAATGCCATTAGATGTTTAAATCTACACTTCTAAGAAATTTAGAATGCAGTTTGTGAAAGAAACACGCACAAATAAACCACAGTTGAAAGCATGTACACAAATGTGCATATTTGGAAAAATGTGCAGGATCACTTGCACACAATTAAAAGTCTTCAGAAATGCACATCTGAACATGATTCCTGCATACAAAGAAGTGCACATGCACATGCAAATATGAACACATGTTCATGCAGATTCCAAAAATAGTGTGATCTGAATCAGAAATGGGGAGGATAAAGTTAAAAGTAGAAAAATGAGAACCTAACAAAAATTGAGCTAGAGAGAGTTGCCCATCCTTAGATTGTCCACATTGCTCCTGGCCAATATCCATCAGTGTCTACTACATTCAGCTCCAGGTCAGCAGAATTGTTCGCATGGCTAAGGACCACGGTGATTGTCCTTGCCCTGAGATGAAATGTCGCTGTGATGATTCCTTTCACCTGAGCCTTCCATTTTCAGTGCATGAGCCCATGTTAACCAATGAACCACATTTGCTCAAACAAAACAGGTTCCCTTGTAACCTCTTTGCAAAGCCCATGAAAAAGCAAATCAGGTCTCAAAAGCCCAGCTGTGAGGGGAGATGGAAAAGAAAGTGATGGATGTTTGGAAGCTTCCTGTCGTTTGCTGTGCTTTTCCATGTAAGGGGGACCAGTCAGCTTGTATTTATTTATTTTAAACCTTTGCATACCATCTGCTACCAAACGGTCTTGTGATGGCCTTACAATAAAACCAAGTGGAGCACAACATCCATTCTATACAATAAAAACCCACTTATTTGAGGATTTGGTGTGCCTATTTTTCAAATGAAAGCTAGGGGCTTCTGATCCTGACAAGCAAAGATGGAATTTTCTAATCTCTGATGGGCAGTTCAGTTGGGCTATCCATATATTTCATGTGCACACGGGATTCCTTGGCTTGGCCAGGGCACACAGAATTTGGCAGAACGGCAGAGAAAGGAGAGTTTTTAACTTAGAAAGATCTTTTTCCACAAAACTTCACAGTTCTCCCTCCTCTCTCTATGGCCCACACAAGAGTGCCTTGTGCCCACCCAGGGAACTTTTCGATCCAAGCCACAATATCCTTAAATTTATATCTGTCTGGGCTCAGTGAAACAACAATTAAGGTTTATTTTAATTACAACAGGTTTGGTCTCTGCTAAGTCAAAATGCAGAAATACAATTAATTTTCTGTTTGGCAAGAAACCCTGAGAGTAAACAATGTTCTGCTGTTTCTTTGAAATGCATGTCCTTTGCGAACTTTTAAATCAGTGATATTAGTTATACTTAATTGATGTAAATGTAAAAACTGCACCATGCCATCCTTCCTTTTTAAAATCAGCACTGTGTGCTCCCTGTTAGCAGGAGCTGTGTATCCAAACGTCAAGATAACATCTTTCCTTTCTGAATATGCTCTTTCTTTTGCTCATAGTTTTTTGCCTTCAAACTCCCTCTGTTTCTAATGCCCAAGACAGGAAGGAGCGCTTACATCCATATGTGCCTGGCCGCCCCTTGGGATCTGCAGGAGAGGCCCTTCTCCAGGAACCCTCAGTGAAAGAAATTAGGAGGGTGGGTACTCAGAGGAGGGCTTTCTCTGCAGTGGCGCCTCAGTTATGGAATGCGCTCCCCAGAGAAGTC